ACTACTACTACGACTACGACTGCGACTACTACTACTACTACTACTACTACTACTACTACTACTACTACTACTACTACTACTACTATTACTACTACTACTACTACTACGACTACGACTACAACTACTACTACTACTACTACAACAACTACGACTACTACTACGACTACGACTACGACTGCGACAACAACTACTACTACTACTACTGCTACTACTACTACTACTACTACTACTCCTACTACTACTCCTACTACTACTACTACTACTACTACTACGACTAATACTACTACTACTACTACTACTACTACTACTACTACTACTACTACTGCTGCTGCTGCTGCTGCTGCTGCTGCTACTGCTACTACGACTACTACTACTACTACTACTACTACTACTACTACTACTACGACGCAAAATACGACCACCACTACAGCCACATATTGCCACTTCACCTTCTCTCCTCCAACGACTTCACCTCGTCCTCCCTTCCCTCTCCTCTCGTTTCGTCTGCTGTTTCTTGACCTGGTTCGTCTTCTACATTCCAGGTGCCAAGCTGGCGACACTTGTCGCCTGACTCACTGGTTTCACCCCCCTCCCCGGGGCAAATGCCCCTGGGGGGATGATGATAATGGTGATGATGATGGTGATGATTATGCTGGTGGTGGCGATGATGATGAGGATGATGGTGATGACGAGGATGATGAGGATAGTGATGAGGATGATGATGATGATGATGATGATGATGATGTTGCTGCTGATGATGATGAGAAGGAGGGGAATGGTGATGATGAAGAGGTTGCTGCTGGTGGTGATGGTGCTGGTGATGCTGTTGATGCTGTGGCGGTGATGATGATGATGTTGCTACAGGTGATGGTGATGCTGATTGTGGTGATGATGACGCTGATGGGGATGGTGATGATGGTGACGATGATGATGATAACGATGACGATGATGATGACAATGCTGATACTGATGCTGATGCTGATAATGCTGATTATGATGATGCTGCTGCTGCTGCTGCTGCTGCTGATGATGATGATGATGATGATGATGATGATGATGATGATGATGATGATGAGGACCAGTGCCACCGCGTGGAGACCGGGCCGGCTGGGAGGCGGGCTCCTGGTCCTTCGGGCAGAGGCGGCATCGCGGCAGGCTCGACTACACCGCAGGATGCGAGTGCAAACGCGCATGGGGGGTGCGAGCTGGTAGAGGGCGGCGGCCACATGCTGTCGTCGATGAGAAGGAGGAGGAGGAGGAGGAGGAGGCGGAGGAGGAGGAGGCGGGGTTGGAGGGAGGGAGAGATGGGGGGGGGGAGACGACAGGTGAGAAAAGAGCTGGGGTAGGGCAGGAGAGGCAGAATGACGAGGGCAGGGACAGGAGAGGCGGGGAGGAAGAACGGGGACGCTGAGTTTGTCCAGGAGACTGCTGCTGCTGCGCGGGAGGAGGAGGAAAAGAAGGAGGAGGAGGAGGAGGAGGAAGAGGAGGCGGTCGAGTGGACAAAGACAAGGCTAGGGAAACTACAGGATATAGCACGGGAGAAGAAGAGAGGGGCGCCTGGGGAGGAGGCAGTTGGGGGTGCGGGGGAAGGGGGGCGGCAGCCAGGGGACCGTGTGGGGCAAGAAGTCCCAGAGCGGCGGTGCGGGAGAAGATTTTCGGTCCTCCGCGAGAGGGGGGCGCAGGGTGTCCCCGCCGAGTGCAGAGGCTGGGCACTCGGCCGCGCGAGGCAGGGGGCGAGAGGCCGTGCCGAAGCCGCCCCCCCCGAGCAGCGGGCATCGTGGCGCTGGTCGTACCATGCCGCAGCGCGGAGTGCGAAACGCGAGGTGCGAGGCGCCTCCGCGCTCTTGCGCGGCGCAACGCGCGAGGGCCTGCGCGCTCTCGCGCACCGCCCCCCCCCCCACCCACCTGAGCTCCCCGGGCCCGGGCCGCGAGCGGCGCAGGGCGCGGCCGTGTTCGCTCCACCCCGCAGCCTGCGCAGTCGCAGCCTGCGCAGCTCGACACGCCGCGGGGCCGTCTGTTCTGAACGCGCCCAGGTGGACGAAGTCGGCACCGCGGCAAGCCCCACGGCGACTGCGTCCGAGGCGGGGTTCGCCCTGGTGGCCGAAGCGCCCTCGCAGAGACGCACGGCCGCACGTCGGAGCCACCGGCGCGGCGACACATGCAGAAAGGATGCGTTCCGTCTGCCCACCGTGGACCAGGGCTCGAGCTACAGTGTTTTTCGTTTTCGTTTCGTCTTCGTTTTCCCTCGCTCTGCCTTCGTTCCACCTTTGCTGCAAAACGAAAGCGCAACACGAAAACGGCCCACGACATTGCCCAAACCCCATTTCGCTCGAGCCCTGTCCGTTGGACACAACCCCCAGGCCACAGGCATGGCATGGGCCCACCTGGCATGGTGTAGAGGTCCTCCTGGCCTCGACCAGGAGGGCCTATGTATATATGGGCCTATAGACAGGGGGCCTAGGTATATAAGGTCTATATCTATATATTGTGTATATATATGTATAAGATGTATACTTGTGTATGTATTTATGTGTATGTACATACAGAGGGCCCATATGTGTACATATATATATACGTCTTTATATATATATATACACACCATCCCTTGGGCCAAGGATCGCACTGGACAGGCACGGTGGTGGTGGTGTGCAGCTGCCACTTGCAGAGTGGTGTCTGCCTGGTGCGGATCCGCAGAGATCGCGGCCATCGGGTCACTCGCGGAGGCCTGGGCCGCTATCAAAACCGATCTGGAAGGCATGCGCGCAGACGGTCCATCACAGCAAGCGCCTAGACCACTTCACAACGTCGGACCACAAGCAGCGCGCACGCATATCTCGCGGTCAGCACAGGAGCTTGGGAGACAATTCCTGGCAGGTCTTCGTGGGCACGAAAGCTTGTCAAGCCCGAATTAATGGCTACACAAACGGACTAGGCCAGATCAAGCCAACGAGCAACATCAATCGTGACTGCACGGAAACATGCGGCGGACTATAGGCCTGATGAAGCCAACGAGCAACATCAAGTCGGACTGCATGGGATTGTGCGGGCCTGAGGGGGGCTAGGCTGGATGAGGACGGATTTCGACCAAGGATCTACCAGGGTCGCGCGGCGATAACGGACGTTCTCGGGGGGTGGGGACGGGAGGGAGCTGCGGAGCTATCCCACCGGCGTTCTTTATGGGCTGAGGTGGCCTATGTACCGAGTCTTTTCGTGTCTTTTTTTCCCCCAGGAAGAGAAGAGAAGAGATGGGGACCAAGGCCGCGCTACGGCGTGCTTGGTTAACGGTGCGGTTGGGTATCTGGCTTTTGCGACACCGAACTCACGCCAAAGAACATATAAGAAATCACGAACCATCGTTTCCTACATTTCAAATATGCGAATGCATCAAACGAAAACGACACATCCAGTGGTAGGAAGATGCGAACCAAACGTGCCTAAAATTGGTTTGGCCACGAACCACGCTTTCCTATAATTGGTCTTCCTACATCGCCATTAGCTAACAGACCGTTAGCGCGTCTACGGGGGGAGCGCGCGATCACTGAATCACATTGCGGCGTGACTGGCGCCGCCGACCCCTTGGGGATCATCGGCGTGTGAGATGTTCCCCCCTCCCCACACTCCTCCCCCGGGAGCCCGGTCCGGTCGATTTGGAGGGGGGGGGGGCCCCCCGACAAGCGCGCCACGGGCTCTTCCGGGCCCAAGAGGGCTTAAAGATGGGCCAAGAAGGCCCCAAGAGGGTTCCAAGACGGCCCACGAGGGCCCCGAGACGCCAAACGAGCGCTCCAAGACGCCCAAGATGGCCCAAAAACGGGCTAAGAGGCCTCCTCGACGGCCCAAGGGGTCCCCACGAGGCCCCAAGAGGCCTCCAAGATGCGTCCCAAGAGGGTCCCTAAACGCAAAAGTTTACCCATTCCTTTAGTAAAACGTACAATTTTTACACATTCGCCTTCTGGGTTTTCCGATGCTCCCAGACGGCCCAAGAGGCCCCCAAGACCGCCCCAACACGGCGCAAGAAGCCTCCAAGAGGGTCCCAAGATAGCCCAAGAGGGCCCCCAAACGGCCCAGCAGGCGTCCAAAACGGCCCAAGAGGGCCCCGAAAACGGCCCAAAGAGCGTTCCAGGAGCGCCCCAAGTGGCCTCCAAGAGAACTCAATATGGTCCCAGACGGTCCAAGAGCGATCAAAGACACCGAAGATGACCTCCAGACGGCCCAAGATGCCCCAAGAGGCCCCAAAAGGCATCCAAGATGCGCCCCAAGAGGGCCTCTAGACGCACAAATTGGCCCGTTCCCTTCGTAAAACGTGCGTTTTTCACTAATTCGCCTTTTGTGCTGTCCGACGCTCCCAGACGGCCCAAGAGGCCCCCAAGACCGCCCCAAGACGGTCCAAAAAACTTCCAAAAAGGGCCCCAAGACAGCCCAAGAGGGCGCCAAGACGGCTCCAGAGGCGCCGAAGACGGCCCACGAGAGGGCTCGAAGACGGCCCCAAGAGCGCTCCAGGAGTGCTCCAAGTGGCTTCCAAGAGAGCTCAACATGGTTCCACACGGTCCAAGAGCGATCGAAGACACCCGAGATGGCCTCCAGATGACCCAAAACGCCCCCAAGAGGCCTCCAAGATGCGTCCCAAGAGGGTGCCTAGTCGCAGAAATTTGCTCATTTCCTTTGTAAAACGTACGCTTTTCACAAATTTGCCTCGTGGGCTTTCCGACGCTCCAAGACGGCCCAAGAGGCCCCGAAGACCGCCCCAAGACGGCCCAAGAGGCCCCCAAGACGGCCCCACGACGGCCCAGGCCCAAGAGGGCAACCAAAAATTCCAAAATCTAGCTTTCCACCCCCACGAGCCCCAGGGGGGCCCAAGAGTGCCCCAAGAGGCCGCCAGAGGCCCCCAAGAGGCCGCCAAGACGCCCCAAGGAGCCCCCAAGAGGCCCCCAAAAGGCCCCCCAAAGACCCCCATACGCTTCCGTATTGCGAGCCGTCAAGCCAACTGCAATGCACTCCGCGCATACAGCCTTGCTCTTCCTCGCGACGTGCTCACTATCTCGTTCGGCGCTAATGTGCTGCTGCCGCGCAAACTGTTCCGTGCGCGATGCGAACGTCAACTGCCTCTTCACCCGTTCCGACTCATCTGCCACATCTTTCGCGGTGATGCGTCGCCGATCGCAGCTTCCGCACACTACTCTTGCTCCTTTCGTCTTCCGGTGGTCCTCCACTTGGTTGCGGGTCGAAAGGCCGACCTCCCAGAAGGACACCCCGCACCCGGGTGCACAGCACGCAAGGCGCTCGCAAAACACGCCCCAGACCACCGGCATCACGCAAACATTTGGACCCCGTACGTATCTGCCGCCACCCGCGCGCGACACCGCACCCTCACACAAGACGCCGCTGGCCAGAAACTCATGGCCTCGCAACACTCACAGAAAAGGGTCGGGGGATGTGGCGCAAGCCTGTAGAATCACATTGCGGCGTGACTGGCACAGTAGCGTGAACCAGAAGACTGCCAGACAAGCTGGGATCGCTACGCGAACCGACCTGCCTGGGACCGAGGTCTTTCTTGCCTATTACAACGGCCCTCTTCCCGTCAGGGGTGTCCCCTCCCCCTCCCCTCCCTGAGTTTTTTCGGGGTGGGCCGCGAGGTGTCAGGGCGCCCAAGATGGCCCAAGACGGCCCAAGATGGCTCCAAGAGGGCGCCCGATGCTCCCAAATGGCCGCCAAGATGGTTCAAGACAGGCAATGATGGTGTAAGATAGCTTCCCGCTTGCCTCCAAGAAGGCCCGACGAGGGCCGCGAGACGGCGCCAAGTGCTCTCCAGGCCCCCTCAAAACCATCCCGAGAGGCCAACATCCTGCAGAAGCACGAGGGGCATCAGTGATGTTTGCTTCCTCGTTTTTTGTTCGCTTCCGATGCGCTCTTGAGGCCCGAAGACGGCCCCGAGATGGCCCAAGCGAGCCCCAAGGCGGGCCCACGAGGCCTCCCACGACGGCCCCAAGGGCGCCCCAAGATCGCCCCAAGGTCGCCCCAAGCGGGTCACCAGGAGCGACTCCGAGGGCTCCAATAGGGGGGGCCTCGCTTGACAGCGACGCCCTCCACGAGGGCCCCGAGGTGCCCTCCAGGGCTCCCAATGGGCCCCCAAGAGAGCCCCAAGAGGGCCCCAAGACCTCCACAAGAGCCCAAAGAGGACCCCCGGATCCCCCTAAGAGCATCAAGAGGGCT